ACAATATTTTAATTTTCATATAATGATTACGCCGTGATGTATGACAAAAAGGGCGATGAATAACGGCAACTAAACAAAAAAAAATCAGAATATAGAAGTCATATTTATAATCAATTATATCCGTGAGTATTGAAGCTTGAGATATGAGGTTTCTCGCAAATAAAAAATAATAATAATAAAATTCAGTTGAATTCTAAATTTAATTTAAATTTTTTCCAGTATAAAACAACTTTGAAGCAAATGAAGTGTTATCCTATTTATCATATTCAGTAAATATTTTAAATAATTTAACTCCTATAGTCTAACTACAATAACAGTTAAAACGTTTTCGAATACTGATTTCCAGATTACTTAGCCAATATTTTATCGGACTAGAAGGAAAGCGACTTCGATAAATGAATAATTGCAGAAGTACTGTCATTTAACAAATCGCCTAATTGTAGGCAACGTTTTTCAAAATTACTGTAAAAATTATCAGAGATCGATTTTCTTCTATAATTTTCACAAAAACATTATCACAATGTCTTTAAGCTCAATTATTACACATTTAATTTTACCTACTCACTTTGACTATCTCACTCTTTCGGTTTTACGAAGCGTGCAAGTTTCTACTTCAGTTGTCAGCCACCCTCAAATTCGGTCTATACCAAAGTCTGCGTCTACTCATACATCAGTCATTCGGTCGTTGGAGTACAGCGAGCCCTCTCAGTGCTCTCCCTTCACTAACCGACTGCATTGTTTGCCACTGAGTTTCCTCATCACTTTCATTCATTTACGCTCATACTTCATTTATTTTCGTTTGTTTGTTTATATTATCGACCTTCGGAACAGGAAAAATGCCGGCTAGCCGCCGGTTGTAAAAGTTTTACGCTTCCACGGTTTTACCGTATAATGTTTGTGTACCGGAAAGTATACAAAGGAAATATACATTTGGTTTTCCGGCTGCATAGACGCCACTACCCGCCAAAGTGAGTAAGTGGTAAGACCATAGCAACCCCAACAGTTGCATTTGCCGTGTTTTTTTCCGAATCTAGCCAAGGCAACGTTCGACCGCCAGTCACCCCCAACTTTATGCTGCTTTAATAGATGATACTTTTGACTTTTGATATTCGTAACATTGTCTGCTGTCTGCGTGTATCCTTTATTCATTTCCCTGTTGGCGCTTTAGAACTTTATGTAGCACATCCTTTCTGCAGAGGGCATTGGTTTCTTTATGCCTTCAATGGCTTTCACTGCTGCCTCTTTGTGTTGATATCAAAGCACTCACACTTCCTTGTACATTACATAAACAAATTTCTTGTTTGTGGAGTATGCGGCAACAAATGGATGCATGCCACAAACTGTGTTAACATTTCATTTAAGGATTTCAACAGGGAGTTGTAGTATATATGCATTACATATACATACATATGTACTACATGAGTAATTTTCAGCATTTAAGGTGCCATTTGTGGCAACACAGAAGTTTATATGTAGAAATATGACAACAAAGGGGCTTGCCAGGCGTCAACTGGCACCGGCGACTATGTCGTTAATTTACTTAATTTTTTTATTGGAAATATGTTGTACAGATTTTAGTGGTGATTTCTGCTGAATGAAGTGGTTGTCATTGTTTACTCTTTCTTTGACAAATTCTTTGTTTGTAATGTAATCAGATATTTTCACGTTTTTAGAGGGTGTATAAAATTAGATTAAATAGTAATTAGCTCTAATGTGCCACAAATTGATTTATACAGTCCAAATTAAGGTTCACAGTTAAAATTCAACCCTCCTATGATTATTATCACAATGTCATTCCTAATAAAAAAAAAAAATTCAAAATTTACTAAGTATTCTAAATATATGTATAATAAATTACCACAGAAAAGCAAAGTTAATAATTTTACTAATAACCTGAACCTATTGGGAAATTGATGTATGTTAAAATTAATAAATTTCAATTTATTTATTACGAAACCCAAGGAGAATTCGTGGGAATTCCGGAGAAAAATTTTGAGGTCATATTTTGAAGAAAAATATAACTCCGTGCAGTGGTCCAAAACACAAGGACTACTTATGTAGTGATTGAAGCATTCGCTTCATTAAATTTTGCAGTTTTTTCTTAGACAGATATTTTATGAAGATCTTAATATTGATTTTGATCGGTAAGTTTGTATGGCAGATACATGTTATAGTGATCCGATTTTAACAATATAGTCGGAGATCGTAGCGTGGCTTTGCGCAATAATTTATGCTAAATTTCGTGTAGATATATTGTCAAATAAAATAGTTTTCGATGCAAAAACTTGGTTTTGATCGAACAGTTTGTATGGCAGCTATATGCTATAGTGGTCCGATCTAAACAATACAAGTATGTTCGGAGATTGTGGTATTGATTTACATATGTTATATGTTATATTGTTATACAACGCAGCATTAAAGCCGATTTGGATGTATGGTATTCAACTATGGGGTACGACCTGTGCAACTAACATTGATATATTACAGAGGATTTCGGATTCACCATGGTAGATTCGTAATGAAAATATTCACGAAGATCTTTGTATTCTTATGGTAAAATAAAGAAGTGGAGGACAGCAGAAAGAACGATAAAGTGAAACTCCGCAATCATCCAAATCCGTTAGCTAATGTTTTGCTACAGTCCTGTACTCAAACTCGCTTAAAAAGGATAGATATACCAGCCTTCTAAAGAGTAACGTGTCACCAACAGGCTTCACTAGGACCTTGAACTTGTCTAGTTTTAAATAGACTTAAGATTTGATTATTTATTGTTAAGCTTTGAATAAACAGATTCAATAAATAAAGATATATTTAATAAAATATATCAATCAGGTATATTGTCAAATAAATTTTTGCCAGGTCTAAACCACCCAGCTAAACAATGTAGTGGTTCGATATTGGTGATTTCGAAAATGCACGAGAAAAAAATGTTTGATATCTTAAAAGCAGAAGGACTAGTGCGCGTATATATAGACATGGTAAAATCGGCTCAGCTCCCTTCGCGGATCATTTGTATATATATATATATATACTTTATACTTTATTATAACCTGTTCAGGGTATAAATAGCAAAAAATTTAGCTTCTGCTTGCAATTATTTTTCAAATTTATTACTCTGTGATTCATCGATTAAAATAGCCACACTTTGTTTACCTAAGTTATATGTTTCTCTATAAACCGTAGATTTATTTAAAATGTATACAAAAATTTTACACTATTGTTTGTTTAACAACAACACAAAGTTTAATAAAGAGTTACTGCTTGTATTGTTATTAAAACGCTTGCGTATTTTGTTGTATATTTTATGATAAAATTATTTGTTAATAATTGTTCCGCAGAAAAACTATTCTTATCGCTTCGGATTGCCTTTAGTTTTTTAATAAAGTTTTATACAGATTGACTAGAAGTAAAGTTAGTTTTACTTTCTTTACTTCAGTCTTGTAAACATTGCTGAGCGCTGAATCTCGTGAACGAAATGTTATATGAATATATTTACAAAGACGCGGGTAAAAATAAAATCCGCCGACGACAATTAGGCATTTTGTAGCAGTAACTTAAATAAATATGCTAATATTTGCGCATTAAACTTACGTTTTCAGTATCGCTTACATCGTATGTTAAACTGTGTTCGTTACACTAACTACTCTCTCCTGAAAAGTTTACTTCTAGAAGCAACAACAACGTATGCACTTGAATACAATAGAAGAGAGTATGTGAATATCCCACTAAAGTTGTATAATGGCTTGCTGTTATATCTCTATTTGATTATGCCAGTTGTTTGTTCGATTCGCTAGTCTTCAAGCTTTGTCTGATCGAAGGCAGCTCGCGAGTATAGCTCTTAATGAATCATGTTTTATGTACTTTAATACATAATTGCTCTAATTTATTGCGCACTTATTTGATCAAAAAATGTTTCTCAAAAGCCAGTTAATTTTCTATTCAGTAATACAGCTTTAACTAATTGTGGATGATTTCATTACTCTTTATTTATCTCCGCGATGTACGTAAGCAATATAGAAAGAGTTATGCACGTTTATCATGACATCGTCTAGTGTTATTATTCTAATGTCGCGATTCTAAAAATCTGCAGAGTAACTGCAAACAAATAACTAACAACAAAACCAATGGGAAGTTGTAAAAAAATCACCAAAGGCGTAAGGAGATAAGTGTTTAGACAACAAGCTCTTATGTGCATACGAAATACGAGGGTGGCTTAGAAAATAAACAAAATCGAAAGTCGAATACCGGTGTTCTCGACCAGTTGAATTTTGTACAGCTGCCCAAGGTAGCTCCTAGAACCCTGAATGTACTTATATTGATGGAAGATAATTATTCCGTGGCAACCATTTTAAAGACTACGGGTTCTAGATAAAAGGAAGATTACTCTATTCTAAGTTATAGAAGTAGTCAGTATATATCTAGCCCGATTTTGTCAAGTTAGTTCAACTATCATAAAACCTATTCCTACACGATTCTACTATATTTCATCGGATTTGATTCTCTAATCAAATCTGAAAAGACAGTAGAACAACGAATAATTCAACAGCAGGGAAGGAAAATATTAAGAACCTAGCCGTTCTCACGACGGTTGGGTATACGAAAAAGGAATGGACTCGATCTATCCGGCTAAGCATTAACTCGACAGCATTGCTCAAAAATTATTTGGAAAATGTTTTCTGCCCTACAACAACATAAAAAATATTTAGATTTCCATTGCCCTCAACTCAAGAGGGTATTCCTGTCTCCTGAAACATTTTGTTTGGGCGCTGCTTAATCACCAGAACTTCGACAAACCATACATTTCTTAGCACAAATCAAACGAGAACTTAATTGGAGAAAGTGTTTGCCTTCTATCAAATACTTTTCAAACCATCATCGTAGCCTTCTGTTGAATAACGAGAGTTGCGAGCTAAAACAATCAAACCTCAATGAAAATTGTCTTCTCTTTGAAGGTATTAAAGTTCGTTGTATACTGTTTACTGACGAACTCTTTGTAACAGATAAGGCCTGATAAGGTGAGTAAGTGTTGGGCTTCGAAAATTCGCAGCCACCAAACAATATAAAAACCAATTTCCTACTTAACGACCAGCATAGTTTTGTGAAATTCTAACGACGAGAAACAGCTCGCCGCACAGTGAGAAAAGAATTATAATTAAACGAAAAGTTTATTACAAGCCGCAGACTTGGAGTACTACGTGATCGCATTAAAGGCAACTAGCGCCGATCATATAGTGAAATTACGCAAAAGTCGTCTACGCAAAGAGAGGCAATATGCTGAAGTTGACAATAGCAATACTTTTGACAGCCGCTCTGCAACCGGCCATGTCACAACTACCGCACAGCGCAGGATTACCATCCCAACAGGGCTTGGCACGTCTGCTATTCACCTCGCGACTTACGGCGCTGAATCCGCAAGTGTCGGTGGCGTGTTTCACCGATTACATCGGGCATTCAAATTCGATCAGCGAAGCTTACGGACAGGACTACAAACAGTGCCTGCTCGAAGCGAGCGAGGAACGCAAACAAATTGATGGTGATTCGGTGAAGGAACGTCAGGAGGTTGTGGATGCAGCAGAGGCGGTATGCAGCAGTCTACGCATTTGTAATGAGCATAACAATACTTTGGAACTTTTCAACTGTCACACGAAAATTGTGAGTATATTTCGAGATGTGCCGTGCAATTAGAGAAGTTTAATCGGTAGTATTAATGTCGTATGAGGTAAATGAAACTATCTGAAAGTTTTAGATATCGATAGACTTTGACATCTAGATAGGATTAGCGCTAGATTTTCTTTGAATTTCAAAGCTCAAATGGCAAGCAGATCTGCATCAATATCTGATTATTTGGTTTTTTCCAAAGGCGACAAAAACGCATCTCAATTTTATATGTGGTTGAGGACAGTAATGCTGTATTTCGGGTATTTTTTGCGTTAGCAGTAATGCTTTCGGGTGTTTCTTTCATTCATCTCGATACTGAGACTCATATGGTCATATACTAGCCCTAGATTCTGAAAAAAGATACTGACAGAAACATACGAACTCCTTATGGCTACTAAAGATTTGAAAATTTTGGGTATTTTTTAAGGGAACTTTTTTTTAGTACAATCGAAGTGCAGCAGATAAAGGTAGGGCAGAGGCGACTACCTATAGAGTCAATGTAACAAGATACAAGGAATTTAGTACAACATGTAAAATACCTTTCGTATATTTGCGGAAGAGTTTGTACGCATTATCCTTTCTAAGAATTATATTACTTGACTAAAGTATACTCAATGAAAACTTCATTCACAGGGTAGCGAGAACACCAAAGCCACATACAGCATATCGGGTAATGCCTCCGAACATGCAACCGTATTGCAAGAACGCTATCGTCGTATCGAGTTGCATCATCAGCAGTGTTGCCAACATGCTGAACGCCGCTATGTGACAGATACGGCGAGTAACTATAACTACTTGCAAGGCTGTCTAGATGGACAAGTGCAGCCTAGACTACAATTTCCGCCAACAACAGTGCAACCAACGACAAGTTCCACCACACCATCAACAACAACGACAACCACTGAGGCACCACCACCACCACCGCCGTCGTCTACGACGTTGCCATCATCACCCTCCGCAGTCTACGATGAACTAACAACCACTGAGCAGAGTCAAAATATACAACAACAAGTAGCACAGATTTTAAACTTGTTAAATTGACCGCCGGTAAAATCAAGGGATTCTTCGGCGGTTAATTAATTTCAAAAAGCTAGCGAGGTTAAGCGAATAGGAATGTAAGGAAGTAATAAATGAAAAACAAAATGCGATGAAAAATTAATGGTTTGTTGTTTTTTTTCGGGGCATAGTCCTAGTAGTTTAAAAAAATTTTTTTTTCAAGCATTAGCAAATTTTTTTGCCGAGTGTATTCGTAATTTTCGCATATTTTACAGTAACACAATATCGGCACGTTAGCAAACACAAAGACAGTTAAGTGCACTTAAAAGGTTCGCTAAGTGTCGGGCGTCAAATCAACCCTGTTTCACAACGAACTGTCAAATCAGCACAAAAAGGGATTATAAGCTCGCTTAATTTAAGAAGTGTAAATATTTTCCAAATTAACAATGCAAAAGCAGATGTGAGTTGCTTTTGCAAATTCAATGTGTGATTGGGGTGCATCTTTCACAACCCCACCGCAGTATAGTTGGAGCGAACCCTTGCAATGGTCACGGCAGTCAACTGCATTATCTACGATATACATATACATATATTCCGATCATTAGCTAAGCATATAGACAATATTCTTCTTTTTTGAACTTCGACTCACACTAAATATTTAGCTGCCACATTTTGCACCACTTTTAAGCGTAAATTCTGGTTAAAGAAAATAATTTTCGTTTTTATGGTTTAGCGTCACTTACCTGCAAGGAAAAGAGAAAGAAATAAAAGTAAATATTTTGCTAGATAAAAATATTTTTAATAAATTGCTATTGAGTTATGTTAACAAGCGGAGAGGAAATGCATTTTGGAGCATGTGTAGGAAAATATTTGCGAACAAAATGACGTCAGCGCATATTTTGCAAGGCATATTTGCGATAACTATAAAAATATATGATTTTTTTTTTTTGTTTGTTGGCAATGTCGAAACAACACGTGCAGAAGAAAGCGCTTAGCATATTTCAACCACTTAGAGTTTTATAGCTTAACAGAAGAGCTACGGAAGAAGAGGGAAATACCACCAAATAATATGCTACAAAGAATCTATAAGCGAAAAATGTTGTTACTCGTTACTAATTAATCTCTTAAGAGCATAAAAATGACAGCGCTGTTTGCATCAATTAAATATATTTATTGCAGATCCAAACTTTTTAATTGACTTTCAAATAATTTGTTATATTAAAAAATTTTCCGCATAGAAGTCTCGAAGGAAATACGTTGCTTAGCGAGCTTGAGTAAAATTTTTTAAATAAATTACAAGTAATGCCTTCAACCGTCTTTAAGATTTGACATGCCCCCTTACATTTCGAAAAGGATCAGCAGTCATATTCACCCTCAGCATTTAAGGAGTTAGGCCAGTCTAGAATTTTCATAGTACACTTAAAGGGCCCGCATTTTTCAAAACGGGTGACAATGGTACTTAAAAGCTAGCGCACATTGTCTTTTTAAATTTACGTAAAGCATGGCTTAGTTAGGGTGCGAGTGTCTTTATCGCAATTTTAGCAGTGTTTGCAATTTTAAATAAAAACATTGTATAATCGGCTGGGTATTCGACCAAATATATTTTTTTCGAGAGATTAAGCTGTAGGGGAAAAGATAATTTTCCGCTTTTAGAAGTTAGCCTCCAAAATCTTTGGCTTAGGTTAAGTATTTTGAAATACAATACTTTTATTTTTACGAAAATCCAATATTAAAAACCTGTCACATATATAAGCTTCACCGTAAATAAGTGAAATAAGAGAAAAACTTAGAGAATGCCATATTTTTACTTTTTTAATAACTTGCATACTACCTACATATAATAATGAGGTTTCAAAAAAGCTCAATTTCGAAATTCGAACTCAAATATTTCGATTCTTTTCGAACTTCGAAAAACAGAGAAATTACTTTTTTCTTTTTGACTCAATTTATTACGAAATTACAAAAAAAAAATTTCGTACAGGAAAAAATCGATTTTGCTGTATAGTATAATATATAATTATGATCCACCAACATCAGATGGTATTAAGAAAAGAAAACAAAATGTTTAATGTTTACTCTCAATATAATAAATGTAGGTCAGTATCAACTGCACCTAAAATGGCACACTTTTTAAACTATATATTCGAATAATAACGAAATTAATCGAGTAATTTTAATATATTATATTTACTTTTTTAAATTCCATAAATCGATCAATCAATCTACAAACAAGTTGCTCCTCGATCAGTTATAAATCGTTCTGAGTTAAAAAAAAAAAGTAACACATGGGCATGGAATGATTACATTAAATAAAAGATTATTAATAATTCCAGCCAGCAGCTAATTTCGACATTGAAAACAAAGGTAATAAGCAGTAAAAAGACAAGCAACTAAGCAACGCAACACTTATCCAATAATCAAATATTCACTTCGTTTTTTTTCGGCACCTCAAAATGTACATAAATTATAGAGGCATACATACAAATTCTCATATACATGTATTAAAAAAGATATAGACATGTATGTATAAAATAAAAATTAAGAGGCTTAAAAGCTTAGAAGATCAACAACAATTGCAAGCGCACATTTAAACTACGAGCCCAAATATCGCAAGAAACATAATTAATCTTCATCGAAATGAATTAGAAATATAATCAGCTAATTTGATAAATGTAGAGCAAAGATAGACTCGACTTGGTGTTTGTTTTTGTAATTACTTAAGACATTTTCAGGGTTTCGGTTTAAGTAATGGATGAAACCAAGTTTTTTTTTCTAAAAACAAAATAAAAGTAGTAACGAAATAATACTCATCTTAGCTAGTGATTTTAAGTATCTTGAAGAATTCAAAAACTTTTAAATAATAAAAAATTCAGACTTCTGAGAAATTTTTGTTGCCAGATATCTGAAACTACAATTTATAATGACTAAATGTTTATTAGCTTGAGCCCTGGTGCAAAAACATGAAAAATTCAACACCTTAAGGTCTATGACAGAGAAGTCTACCAAATCGCCGTATGACCATTTTGTCTAAAAATATATTTCAATGCATTTTTTTATTTGTCACCTAAAATACATATCATCCACAATTTCGTGTACAAAATCGTCCGTTACAGCTACAAACAATGGAGCAATCCAAATTCAACAAAGAATAGTAATTAAAATACAATGAAGTCGAAAAGTTGCAAGTTCATCAGCCCAGCAATTGTTGACATGACCGTAGATGAAAGCAGAAACGATAAAAATAATAATTTTCTAACTGTTGCGATCAAACGATATATAGTATATTTTATATACATACATATGTACCGAGGGGCACACAAATACAACTACATACATATGGAAAAACATAATCACACCAATAATTGTAAGCATTTATGGTCAAAACTAGTATTAAACAATATTTTACAACAAATGCACACATACACATACATATACTTTTAAGCGCTTCGAAACGTGCAGTCATGGTCATGATCACTTCGGAATTGCTCTATAAACACTAATACAAATGTATATATAATATACTCGTATATAGGCTCGTCGTACGTTGAATTTACGAAAAAGCATCGTCAGGAGGCGACTTTTATGGACATAAACACTCCAAAATACAAACTGCGGAACTGAGACAAAGCAGGAAAATGGTTGAATGTGTATGTATGTAAAAACAAAAAACGCCGACAGTTAACGTTACAAAGCGGAAGTGTCCTATTTTGGAAATAAATCGATAAAAAAATATTTCAATATTTATTATTTATGATATTTTCGAATAAAACAAGAAGAAACCTTAACTACGAAGCTACATGCTACAAGCTATGGCAGCTATATGCTATAATGGTCTGATACCGGCAGTTCTGACAAATTAGCAGCTTGTTGGGGAGAAAAGGACGTGTGCAAAATTTCATCGATAGTTTTTTATCGTTTTATTATATCGATATCTTAATCATTTCAGCAATTAAAAATTTGGTTAATCAATTCAGATTATTCAAATAATTTTACACTTTCAAAAATATATAGTAAGATTAATATTTCTTATTCAGCAATTACCGACTGCTTGAGTAATAAGATCATTTAAAATTTTAATGTAACAACTTAAAGGAACGAAATATAACAAAATCGTTTTCCTAGAATTTCTGGAAATTAAATCGTATAAAAAATTAAATATTTAGGGATTAAAAAAAAATAAGCTGCGCAAATATGTCAAACATATAAATATAACTACTTCCACATTAGTTTTAACTTATATTTTATCACCACTGAACCACTGTATCACTCAGGTACACAAGTAACGAAGTAAGCCAGTTGTGTGACGCTCAAAACATCGCCGCCTTTTTTTGTCGCAACAACGTGTATTCTCTTTCGTATATGGGCTACAAAAGTGGCACGCTGAAACTTGCCGCCAAAAATGGCTATATTCATTTGCATTGATAATGTAAACAACGAAAGTACGAGTTTTGGCGTTAAAAAAGATGATGATTATGTTTTTAATAAACTATACTTCAGTAAGAAGCGATACTGCGCGATACAGCTTGCTCAAATCTATACCAGGAATAATAACTAACCTTAAGTATAAAACCTAAGTGGCATTTGCATTTGCAACAGAGCTAGGAAATGTTCTAACCTCAAACTACCTTTACTAATTTTGAAAGCGCAAAATCAGGGCTTTCGTATTTTAGGTACGAATGATTTAGATTTTGTATCGACAATCATCAAGCTTTTAAGACATCAGTTTTGCATTGGTAGTATTTGCAGTTCATTCAAACATTTTAGGTAGGGATGAAACTTTCAGCCATTGTCTTCTGAAGATGGTATTCTAACGAAAGAACGACAATTTTATCATTTATAACAATGGATCAATTCGTAACCTGATTTTTATCTGATCAAAAAGGAAATGAGAACTATCGACGAGAGAAGCAGTGATGTATTCATAATAGAGAAAATAACTATGTGCTGTCCATTCAAGAGGATTGTAATACTAGCAAGGTCATTGCAAGATTGAAAGTGGTCACCGTGATCTATAGACGTCAAACAAATCTTTACCTTTAAATATAATATTGATCTTAAACCATAAAAACTATATGCTATGACTTTCAATTCAAGGCGCGAGAGATCACAAATTTAAAATTTCCAAAACGATGTTAGAATTACGTTCAAGACTTTTCACTTCCA